AGTTTAAGCTTACAGGGGTTTTCTTTTGTATTTAATTGAATAGCTTTTCCCCTTCTTGCTGACAAAAAGAGCTGGAGAGAACGAGAAACACAAATGGAACAAGTAGCTTAAATTCCACATTCTAAAGAAACGCAGTCCTCTGTTTAGCCTAAGGTCCGCAATACTTAAATTGAACTTTTCAATTAAAGGCTTACTCCCTAATCCTTGGGTGATTTTCCTCTTAAAAAAAAAAAAAAAACTTTCTTCAGTTTATCGGTTATTTTGGACAGATCAAGTAACATTTAGTTCCTCAGTCTCTTTGTGCTCTTCCATAACTTCCTTCCTGCCTTTTTGTCTGAGCAGTGTGAGTTGAGGTGTCCAAGGCTTCTCGTTAGTGCTGCCTCTGCCACAGTGTAATTAGTTTTAATTTTCACATGAATCAGAAGTTTATTTTCATGTCTATTTACAGTCCACTTGTGCCAAACTGACTCGTGCGCTGACTGAGAAGGTGTTTAGCTGTGTGGTGTCCTGGAGGGCGCCAGAGCAGATTCAGCATTCTAGGGAGTAAAAGGTGCCACTTGGTAGCAATGAAATGCCAGAACTTAATGGGCTTTTGTTGCCATGGAGACTGCATTTAAAGAAATGTAGCCTGTAGCTTAAGTTAACTAAACCTAATGCTGCTGTTAAAAACAGTTTATTTTAATATTAAAATACAGTTGATTAGCAACGGCGGTGCTGTATTTTAAGAGACACTTTATTGGAAGTGCAATCATAGTTCTTTGTTTTCACAATTTTACAGTGCATTCTAATTACTAATGGGTGCAATTACTTTTAATGGTAAGTGTTTTATAAACTAGAAAAAAAAGTGGCGTTTTCATGAGTTATAGTAAATCCCACAATTATTAAAAAATTCAATGAAACATCCTGCGCAACATGTTCCCGTGCCTTTGCCTAACCTAAATGGATAGTTGCCAGTTAAATAAGTGAGTAATTCCAATTTCAATGTCTCTCCTGAAGTGACTATGCTATGAATTGCAAAGACCTCCATAAAACCACCCATGGCCTTGCCTTTACAGTAAATATAACAACTAAATGTTTAATCAGTTCGTTTGCCTAAATAGCAAATGCTGACGTGTTTGTTCTATTGCACAACACTCATTTGCTGTGTGATTACTGTTTAGTGTTGAAAAAAATCAACTTCCTAGTTATCAGTGTCTTACTGTGAAGAAAATACTGGTCTTAGTTGTAATTAAGATACAATGGTACAGTGTGTAATTAAAACTAGAGTAAACTGTTGGAATGGCTGTTTTACTTACATATTATCAAAACTAGCATAACATAAGCAAAATAGATATGCAACGCTCCATTTCATGTTTTGCCAGATTCTTACCAGAAATCTACAGATACCAAAATTTCAGTATCGAGTTTGTACAGGCAAGTCCTGGGCTGGGTAAAAGGTTATATTAGTATTGATATCCAGTGAGTTGTAATTACGATTTTTTTATTACTTTTATTTTCTTCCCCCAAACCCTGCTTTTCAGATATCCTTGTATTTTGAGTTCATACAGCTAGGACATTGTATTAGAGTATTTAATATTCCCCGGGTCCCCCTAGAATAAAAAAAAACTGTTGGAATCGTTCCTATGCCATCAAAAGTCCACATTAGTGTGTATTTCCCCAATTGTCAGAAACATTGATATCCCTATTAAAATTGGTTGGGGAAAATATTGACTTTATGTACAGTGTATTACTGTATATTAAACTAAAATAGTCCATTAAAGGATTTTTTTACAAATTTATTTTGGATGAAAAATACCAACACCAATCAGTTTTTAGATCCAGTTGTAATTGTTCAATAGAAGAGCCTTTGTATCATATGGAGGCGTCTTCCAAAGCTGCAGCACGGTGAGCGGAGGTGCTGCGTGCAGACGGCGGTGACGCTCTTGGTGACACTCGTGCCCGTGGTGAGTCCTGGTTCCTCGCACCTCGTGCAGTACCCTTTGTTTCTGTGGCGTTCTCTCCTGAGCATGAAAAGTGATCATTACCCAATTTGTATTTCCTTGGTACCTATTTTAAAAACAACACAGTCATGGACTTTACAATTCAGAAATAAAGTTTGGCAAAGCCTATTTTGTAAACAAGTTAATTTTATAATGTAAAAAAAAAATTACTCTAACCTTGACTTGTTATTTGCACTTTCATAGTCTATACTTGATACATTCCCACTTTATATACAGTAGGATTCTACAAACATGTAGATGTTTGGCCAAATGAATGCTGTTAATAATATGTAAAATTCTTTGATTAAACATTTATTACTTAAACTACTTTACTTTTGTCTCATTACGTTTTAGACTTTGTTTTAACAAGTCAAGAAACTGATTTTCTTTAAATTAAATGCCCTCAAATATGATGGGATTAATTTTGGTTCTTGCATGTAATTGATTAGTGCCTAATGTTTTTTACACTAGCCCACTTTTTGAGCATTTTATACCCCAAAGATAAACCCAAAACACTGTATGACAATGTATTAAAACATTGTGACTTCAATCTAATTTTATTTTCATCACTATAGCTTTTGGGAGAAAAATGTTGCGATTTTTCCATGGTACATATGTGATTACTTTTTTTTTCTAAACCCTGCTTTTCACAAAGTCTTATATTTTGAATTTGTATGGCTAGGTCATTGTATTAGAGTATTTAATATTCCCCGGGTTCCCCTAGGATAAAAAAACTGTGTGGGAATTGTTCCTATGCTATGGATCTCAAAAGTCCACATCTCTAATAGAAACACAGGAAAAGATATTATTTTGTGAAATTGCTTAGGATAGGAAAATGTTTTTATGCCGTATGAACAGAAACACCTGCTTCTCCACCACTTTATTCTGTCCCATCTGAGTTACCTAAACAGCCCTTTGCATCTGAACTTCGGTGCAGATAACACAGGTGTCAGGCCACCAGCTGGTGCTTCATGGGGTCTCCCCGTGATAACCAGTTTTAAAGTCATTTTATTTATGCCTTTCATTGGGTGGATCTGAACTTAACTACCAATGTCCATATATTGAGTTATTCTTTAATTTTGTTGATTATTGCAGCCACTGATCTCATTTTTTATCTCTTTATTCCTCAAATATTGTCGCTTACCTGTTATGAATTAAAATCTGAGACTTACTGAAGAAGTTTGGTCATAATTTAAAAACAGTTGTAGTTGAGTAAAATCTTAGAAGCTAAATATTACATAATAACACAAATTTGGGGGTTTTTTCTTTTAAGGCTGAAATAAAAACTCCATAGGAAAAAAAGGTTCGTGTGCTCAGCTTTTGGGCTGAGCTGCAGTTTTGTCTCAGCCCTGGGCTGTGGGCGTAACTACTGGGTCTCCTTATCACCAGTGTATTACTGCCTCTTCAGTTGTTATCATCTCCCTAGAATGGTAGACTTCTTTCTAGACAAATACATGACTGTTCTTATTTTAGGAACTGGCAGTCATAATTCTTAAAGAAAAATGGACCAGAAAAATTTCATTGTGCTCTCTGTTCCACTTTGGACTGACAGGTGGCTGACAAACTGAGTGGTGGCCAAACTTTTGAAGGAATTATTCTTCAGACTTGAAAACTAATTTGGAAATATTCTTTATCAGGCTCTATGTCATCTCTTAGCCAGCTATTACACAAGGGCCTAGCCTGCATGAGGCATCAGCTTACAGACAGGCTGAGAGAGAGATTCTTGAAAGAGCGAACAAAACAGTTATAGAAAAGAATAATCATTGGACGAGACAGTCTAGTTCTCTGCACCTATACATCTTGCTGGGTGTCCCAAGACTGCAAGGCCTGATGACAGTTTTGCCTGGGTCATTTCTCAGCATTTATGTAGCTAGTCACCTTGAAGACAAGGACAGACTTGTAAAAGCATTGGATTGTCGACACAAACCCACTGCGTGCTTGGCCCATATATACTGTCGTCTCCGTGGACCTGGGGGCAAGGGCAACTGACACAGATATGCTGATACTCATGCTGCCTGCTGTGCTGGAAGTGATCAAGTCCTTTGTCTCTGACCCAAGAGCCTCCTTACTTCCGTCAGCATCCATGAAACAGACAGGCTAACATACTGGTTTTGTAAGCAGGGCAAAATCAAATCCCAGACCCTACAGTTTTGATAAGGATGGAGTGCTGACAGACATGACTGGAAGAGGAACCATGGGCCAGGTTTGGGAATAGAAGACTCCCTGGAATCTTTGTGGTAGTTGAATGCTCTCACCCAAGTGATAGACAAGGGTGGAGTGATAGTGAGGGTCCCCACTGCCCTACCTATTACTGAACAGGAATTGAGCTAATGTTTAGAGGCTTGGCTGTAAGAGGGAGGATTGAAACAAGCTGTCCAATGGTGCTTTGACTGTTGCTACCTCCCGGAGGCATGTGAGGAGTCAGCAGTTCCTGTGGCCCTTCCTGAAAGGCAGTATGGCTGCAGCTGCTGAGTCCAGGAGTCCCCACATGTAAAATAAATGGTGTCAGCAATAAGAAGCTTGCGTTTGAGAGCTTTGAGCTGACTGAGAACATTAGAAGTTCACTTGGTTGGGCTGCAAGCAGTTGCAACAGTGTCCAAATGTAAAAGTAAGTGTAGGGCCGGCAGAGTGGTGTGCTGGTTAGGAGTTGGCTTGGGATGCCAGCTCTGAGCAACAGGACCCGGTTCAGATCCCACATATTAAGGCCAGTGACGCTGCGCTCTCTACAGCTAGGATGGTGAATGACAGGTCGATCTGGAGCTGGTCTGCCGTGAGTCGCTGGCAACGGCGAACGTAGGCTGCAGTGGAGCTGGCCAGCAGTGGGCATGAGCTGCCGTCCAGTGGCTGGCAAGCGACTGCCTCAGCCGGGAAGAGCACAATGATCACAATACCAACATGGGCCAGTGAAGCGACGTCCTCCACAACTAGACTGAAGAACAAAAGGACAGCGGCTTGTCTGTTCCCCTCCCCCAATTACCCAATAAAATCTTTAAAAAAAAAAAAAAAAGTGCAGAGCAGGCTGCCCTGGCAGCCCCAGACCCTGACTTAGCCAGCAGTGAGGATGAGGTGCTGGATGCAGGAGTGACAGTAGGTGCCAAAGCCTGCAGGGTTAACAGTGGCGGTGCACATGGAGACGAGAGAAGGCCCTGGTTCATGCTGACAGGCGTCACCACTGCCATGGGAGAAGCAGTTGCGCCAGTGTTGGGCACTGACCCTGGAGGAGCTAGGGAAGACGAGGGCCCACAGTTTCCTCCCCTTTTGGTTGGGAGATATCATTTGCCATCCGCATATCTCTGACTTGCACACATCTTAAATTCCTCAGCTGGGAAAAACATTTGCACACTGGTGGAGAAGGGAGGCTTTCCTTGTAGGTGGGGCCCTTGGGAGATTAGGAGTAATGTGGCTTCCAAATCTAAATGTCTGATGGAACAATGTGTTACATGCCCAAAGTACCCGTCTCATAATTGTCAGGGGTAGAGAGGTGATGGTGGGGTGTAAATCGCTCCCCTGCCTACTTCCTTCTCCCCTCGCTGGTGGTCCAGCAGAAACAACAGAGAATCCCAGGAGAAAGTGCAATCACTCCTTTTGTTCAACCCTTCATGGCAGCCGGAGCGCCGAGGTGGTTTCCGTGCACAACATCGCCACCTGCCGGACACAGCCACCCACTACACCCATTTGGAGAAAGGCAGCTATTAACGGGTTCCAAGGCTCTTGAAACTGAACGCCTAACCTATGGAGGCCTGTGCGTGTCGTCATCTAGAGTGACATCTCCACTATTGTCAGGGGAAAGCTTTCATTGCCTGTTATGGACATTTCGAGTTGATTTATCAATGCGCTACGTATCATTGGATTTGGGACCATTCATGACAGATTTTCAAATTGTGGACTCTCGAAAGATGAATTTCTAATATTGAAAACAAATTAATCTACTCATTTGATTGACCCTAACAGGTGTGCCTTGCTCAGAGTTCTTACTAAATGTAGAAATCAGGAGATTGTCATAGAAGCATGAGAATTTCTTTTAATCATCACCACCGTGGAACACTTCACAGATGCTCCGCCTTCCCACCGTTAAACAAAGCCAGCCTTGGCCGCATAACTACCGTACCAGTCCAATCAGTTGCAAGATAAAAAAGAAAAGGTTGATTATATCCAAGTAGATGTTCAGAGCAGCAAAAATATACTCTTCAGGGTCCAGGTTATAACGATGGTGACCTCCCACCATCAGCTGCACATCCATCACCAAGTACTTAACGAAAAGAAAGAAGAATTAGCTACATAGGTAAATTGTGCATCTATCAACTAAGTGTCCTAAATGATCTGGAAACAATTATTTTAGCTCCAATAAATATATTGCAGAATGTCAATTTATGGTCATATGTTATTCTTACAGCCTCAACCATTCATGATGTCCCCACATTTGTACTCTATTAAAGCAAGTGCTTTGTCCTCCTGAAGCTGGTAGGACCAGACCTGTGAGCTTTCCTTTGCTTTCCAAATGCAGAAGCCTTTGTGCCTTTAGTTAATGATGTGGACCCGTTGGGCAGGTTGGACACAGAGATAAGCTGCAAAATGTTCTGTGTTTGCGACCTCCCCACAAGTGCTTGCTGAACCAAGAATGAAAATAAAAATGGTCCCCCGGCATTCAGATTCACACACAGCAATAATTCTGAATGCTTGGAGCTTTGGGTGATAACACTTTTCCAACCTGCACATTGGGGATGGCTCTATGAGGATGTCAGTATTTCCAAAAATAAAGGAGGAGGAGAAGAGGGGGTTTGTATATGGTTAAATAATCCCGGCACAATCATTTTAGCTCAGCTGCAGTCGGTAAAATTTTGAGCTCCTAAATCATCAAGAAAAAGTCAGCAAGCCCTCTCATGTTTGTGTTTGTTGCAAAGTGAGCAGACCCCGGCAGCATGGTGCATTAGAGGGAGGAAAAGAAAGCAAGCAGTGCCTCACTTCTTTGTATCCAGACTCTAGACTGAGCCTAGTGCTGTGAGGCAGAGCCCCATCAGATATTTCCTAGAGAATCTGGAGGGTGGTGGGAGGGTTAAAGATTCTTTTAATCTATTTTAGAAAAAGATCCACTTCAGTGAAACCTATCCCAAGTGGTTCAGGTATTGGCTCTCCCTGGGTTCTGGTTCCTACCCGGGCTTGTAAGAATGAGGGAAGGAACAAAGGAAAGGAACGGGGTAGCCTACACCAGTTCATGATGGGCATCATATCCTATGATATGGGAACAACTCAGCTGAGGCAGGTGCGAGGAACCGAGCCTCCGAGATGGGAAGATCACGTGAGTGATCAGAGTGGCAGAGAAGGAAGTCAAACCCGAGGCTGGGGGATGTGAAGCCGGCGCCTCCCCTGGACCACTGACTCTCCCCACCCCATCTTCCTCCCCTCTCCCTATGTCTGACTCCAGCAAGTTTAGAGGAAGTTTTTAACTTTTACCATATGATCCCACAATCACGCTCCTTGGTATTTTCCCAAAGGAGTTGAAAACATGTTCACATAAAATCCTGCACACCGATGTTTACAGCAGTTTTGTTCAAAATTGCTAAAACTTGGGAGCAACCAAGATGTCCGTCAGTAGGTGGATGGATAACTTAACTGTGGTCCATCCAGGCCATGGAATATTGTTCGGCACTAAAAAGAGATGAGCTATCAAACTATGAAAAGACATGGAGGAATCTTAAACGCATATTCCTAAGTGAAAGAAGCCAACCTGAAAAGCCCACATACTATTTGATTCCAACTATATGACATTCTAGAAAAGGCAAAACTTGAAAACAGTAAAAAGGCCAGGCGTTGGGAGTAGGGGAGCGATCAATAAGCAGATAAATACATTTATCCAAACCCACAGAATGTACAATATCAGGAGTGAACCCTAATGTAAACTATGGGCTTTGGGTGATACTGACGTGTCAATGTAGGTTTCTCAGTGTAACAAATGTACCATCTTGATGAGTGATGTTAGTAAAAGGGGAGGCCATGCATGTGGGGCAGGGGTTTATGGGAAATCTCTGTACCTTCCTCTACATTTTGCTGTGAACTTAAAAGTGCTCTAAAAAAAATTATCATGATAAAAGAGGGAGAAAGAGGAAGTTGCCTGGAGGGCTTTCCAGTGAAGTACTGACTCTACTTGACTCCAAGCTTAGCACAAGGGTTCAGGGGGCGCTGTATATGCATATACCATACTCTTCGTCAAAGAGAGGGAGAAATGGACTTACAAGTGAGAAGATCATAGTTCCAAGTCCGGCATACAACAGATGTAACCACTGCAAAAAGACAGCAAACAATTGTATGTTAAGAACAAGATTTGGAATAATGAACAGGGTCAATTAGGCCACTGCTATTAGATAAGGACCCCATATTCTGAAAGTCATCTCGGCGGGGGAATTCGTCTTTTTTGAACATAGTCTGTCAACAGCATCCACTCGATTCCATTCAGCAAGCTAATGAAACCTAGCCTTGCGTATGCAAAGAAGGTTCATCAGGTAGGCACCCCTACGTGCATCTCACGCATGGTAGGGCAAGCGGAGTGTACTGGGTCCGTTTTCCTTTGGGCCCATCCACATAGCTCTGCTAGAGAATCTGCCCCACCCTCAGCTCTTGGAACAGGTGCTCTGGGAACACAGTGACCCTCACACACCACTGCTAGAGTTGATTAGAAGTGGAAGATATCCCCTCCAATAGCAGCAAATCTCTTCCCTGAGTAGGAGCCTCTTATATGTGACTGGGATCAAACAGAGGTGCCAGGCCGGTCAGAACTCAGTTGTCGGGGTAGAGGAATCCAAGCAGCAGAGGCTGTTCTGTCATTAGCTGGTGCTTAAGCTATTGCTGTAGAAGCAGAGGTGGCCAATCAGCTCTGCCCATGAGAGGAAGGCCGCGTTTCCTTCCCTGTGAATCTTGGCTCTTCTTCCCACCTAGGGCTTCTTTAAGATTCGCTGGGTCTTTGCCTCGAGCTAGTCTAAGCAATATCTGTTCCTTGCCACCAAAACAGCCCTCATCAGAATATGAGGCTGTTCTAAATGCTAAAGGGTTTGGCTCTGTATGGGAGAGGATAAAGAAGTGGTATATAACAACCGAGGAAAACAGTGGCATTCACCCTTTGAAACCTGTCTTAGAGGGACAGGCAGAGCATTCTGCTAACAAGGGAAGGGTCTTGGTGAAGGAGAAATCAAGAGCCAGTGACAATGTGAGAGGCACAGTGTTTCTAGGCTGAGCTAATGGTAAGAAAACACCTGATTACTTGAGTCTGAAGAATTCAAAATTGTCAAAGTCAAATAAGCATATATTTGACAGGACAAGGTCTCCTCCCGTTTAAACATCTCTGTAAAGATTATATTGGGTTGTCAGAAAAGTCATGATGCAGTTTTGCAATGAAAACCATAGAAAAAAATGCATCATGACTTTTCCAACAACCCAATATATGGTATGATAGATATTTGTAAAAGGAAATTTAGAATGGGAACCAGGGTTCATCTACCTAGTAGGAAACTCAGTTTCTTAACTGCACCTATTGTAAAGACGTGTGGAACCTACCTAGTAAGTATTTGTGTTATCGCTACCAATATCTCTGCTACCAACAATAACAATAAATGGAGCACTGTGGCCTTTTAAGGCATATCTTTGAGTTTATCTCTAAAATGCAGGTGCTACCTCCCAAGCTATAAGCCTATATGGTCATTCATAAAGATAAACCAGCTCAGGCAGAACTATTGGTTATATGTCTGAAGATAATTTAGTAAGTCCACTTGTTGCCAAAGAAGCTCTTTGATTTGGCATTTGGACTAAGTTGGCCTTGGGATGTTAGTCAAATGGTCACAGACCCCAAGCCAGTCCTCTGTGGACCTGGCCTCCAGTAGGGTCTCCACACAGAGGCCTCTGGCAGCCAGACCACAGGGCCAGATCCTGTTCCCCTACCTCTCCACCCCTCCAGCCCCAGTCCACAGACAGTGCAATGTGGTAGAAACAGCATGGGCCCCAGAGTCACACAGCTCTGGCTTTGATCCCATGTATGTCCCCTGTGAACTCAGATGAATTATTTAATTACTCTGAGTCTGTTCTTGTATCTAGAAAATACATGAGATATATACTATTCAGAAATGTTGCAAGAATTAAATTTGCTGCCTCTGTGACAAACACATAAGCTTATGTCCAATATCTAGTAAGAAGTCAATGAATATATTAAAGCAAGAAAAAAAAGAGAGAGAAGCTGGAATTGAAAATAAGGAGCCTCGGGCCGGCCGAGTGGCTCAGTTGGTTAAGAGCTCGCTCAAGGGTTTGAGCTCTGAGCAACAGCGGTTCGAGTCCAGCCCGAGCTGAGCAGCCGCTGAGCTGCCAACAGGTAGCAGGATGGCTCAGCTGAAAAAAAAAAAAAAAACGAAAATAAGGAGCCTCCTCTAGGCCGGTGTTGAAAAAGTCAGAACAAGCCCATCTCTCTACTCCCACCACGTCAAACACGCAGCACCTACGTATGGAGAGGGAGTCTGACCTGACCTGTGGGTAGGTTCGCCCCGAGAGTTTTTTAGAGGACAGCTGTGGTCTAGGGTAGGAGCTCCATCTTCATGTCCCAGACCTCCTGTCCATGGTACCCCAACAGCACCATACCGGGCAACCCCTAGGACCTGCCTCACAAGCCTCCAGCACAGAGAGGGAGTGGAACTGACCAAGGCCCCAGTGGCTATGCTGGGAAACCCACTGCGGTTCGCTCCTGGACCACGCGTCCACTTCCGTTACTGGTGGGAGCAGCAGGGCCCTGCTTGGGAGACACAGAACTACTATACTATGATGGCCGCCGGCCTGGCCGAGCCTTCCTTAGACAGCGCCGCGTCTACAATGCTCCCATCCATCTTCCCATCTTCCGTCTCCTTCACTTGGGGTCACATTTGCTATCACGGTCTGACAGCTCGCCCAGCCTTCGTTGGCTCACCCCGCCCCTTTCTCTCATAGACATTTCTCCCGTGGAAGTCCTCCCGTTTTTCACCCATCTCGGTGTCTGTTTCCCAGAGGATCCAGATGAACACAACCAGCACTTCACTCTAGTTTTCTAACAATTCTCTGAGGTTTCCACATGAGATCCCACTTACATATGATCGTATGAAGATTAAGAGGATTCCATAGATAATAAGTACGAAGAGTAAAACGAACAGCGTTCCATTTAGCAAGGTGAAATCCCACTGAGGAAACACAAACAACACAAAAACAACTCAACTTCCAGCTATAAGGAATTTCAGGATGTTTAGAGATGCATCTTATACCTCATAGACAGAAACTGGCCCATTTGCTCATAATTTATCCTGGTCAATTCGGAGAACCACGGAAATCCATTAGCCCCAACCTCTGAAAAGGCTACATAAAAAATATCCTATTGACTAGGACTTGCTTCAGGAGGGAGAAGCGGGTAGGAAGAAGTATAAATGAAATAACAGAGGCAAGAGTTGATAATTTTTGAAACCGGGTAATGAGCACAGGGGGGTTAATTAGATGATTCTATTTTTTGTATTTGTATGAAATTTCCCCTAATAAAAAAGGTACATTGAATAAGTAGGATGTACATTTGTATAGTATGATCATAATTATTCATATTTTTAAAAGCATGGGCATAGAGTACATTAATGGAATGAAATAGACCAAGATGTTAACTGGGTACCTTTTCCACATATGTATACATATATTTTAATAAAAAATATATACTAAGCTTTCAAAAATGATCAATGATTCTTTTGTAATTTGGAAATTTATTAATATGCCTTTTGGTGTTGCCTTTATAAATTAGTGAGCAAATCAGCTTGGGGAAATTAAGATTTTTTTAAAAAGAAAGGGGAATAGTCATCTTCTGGCCTAAATTTTGGATTGTGCATCAAAAGAAGGCCCTTGAATCCAAGGGCATTTCCCTAATTCCTCTATCTCCCCTCTCACTCCCTACCCTCAACCTACCAAGAGAGTAATCTGAAGTCCTGCATCGCCTGGTGTGGCTCCTAGACCACCACCAGCAGCAAATGGTTGGGCAGCTACAGGCGTGGAGCCCAGCAGCCTGGTCTGACAAGCTTTCTGAGTGCTTCTGATGCTGCTAAAAGTTTGTCTACAGCTGTGCTTTTAATACGTGTGGCTAATGAGACCTTGAAACATGGCTAGTCCAAACTGAGATGTGCTCTCAATATAAAATACTTATTTGAAGCTTAACTTGAAAAAGAGAATGTAAACTATCTCACTAATACTTTTTGTTACATTGATCACTTGTTCCAATGATCATACTTTGCATATATAGGGTTAAGTAGAACATGTTATTAATTTCACCAGTTTCTTTTTATTTTTTTTTAAATTGGGCAACTGGGGAGGGGGACCAGCCTAGTTGTTGTTCTTCAGTCTTCGTTGTGGCCTCTAAGCTCAGGTGCTGTGTTACAATCTTACCAAACTCCCATGCAGGAGTCAAACCAGCAGCCTTGTTGTTAAGAGCGCATGCTCTATCCACTGAGCCATCCGAGCGGCAGCTCAGCTCAAGATGCCAAGTTCAGTCTTAGTTGCTGGCGGGCGTAGTCCATCATTGAACAGGCAGTCTTGTTGTTAGGAACACGTGCTCTCACCAGCTGAGCCATCCTGCCACCTATTGGCAGCTCCCCATCAGCTCAGCCCAGGCGCAGGGTCACTGGCCCATGTGGGAATCGAACTGGCGGCCCAGTTGCTCAGCGCTCACGCTCTTAAGCTAACTCTTAACCAACTGAGCCACTCGGCCGGCCCTCTTTTTACCTTTTAATGTGGCTACTAGGAAAGCCAGAAGACAAAGCGGTGGTGGAGCTGAGTCCGCAGGGCAGTAGACCGCAGGAAGGAGGAGACAGGGGAATGGGTCGGGAGGGGCAAAGGAACATATCCGCACACTCCCTTCTGACAGAAATCTGTCTCACTAATACTCACTTTTGTTTGAAGAGCAAATAAAGTGAGCGATAACGTCACCAGAGCGGTCGCTGCTGTTGCCCATAACACCTCCTCAGCTTTATAAAAACTATAACCAGAGACCATGATTAGTGTACATGTACATTCTAAGAACAGCACACACAAAAGAAAACGTGTAACAGAGACTTACACTGATATGGTTCCTAGCAGCAGACCTTGAAGAATTGTCTAAAAAACAAAATTCACAATAAATCAGAAGCCTGATGCCCGAGGCCCAGAATCCAAAGGAGATGATGTGAGGTGTGTGTGTTTTGGCAGGGCCCAGGGACAGGTGGGAATGCGCACAATCCTAGTGCCCAAGCCACAGGGCAACTGATAGTAAGTACAAAGAGTGGAACTAAACCTTTCCTCAACATTCTCCCTAAGACTGACAAGAGAAAATGTCTTTATTAGTAAAAATTTCTTAGGACCCAACAGTAGCCTTCAACATATTTAGTGTATATTGATGAGAAACCAACCTAGAAAGTTGATCTGTAGACCATATCATCATTAATCAAATGGGGCCATCCACACAGAATCGTAACGTTTTATCAGAGTAGGATATGCTCTTTCTACTAATGACCTTTCCGTGGTGCTTGGGTGAGAATAAAATATTTCTTAAACCTCAGAGGTAGGATGAAGATTGAGACCCTCTCAGAACCAGGGGTGGGCTGGAGGGCACTTGATATCCATAGAGCATGAACTGCACCTGTAGGTGCCAATCCAGCGCTCGGAGAAAGGCTGCATTGGGGCTGCAGGGTGTCTGTGCGCCGCATGGAGCCAGGAATGGGGCAGCGTGGCGGGAGGCAGGCCCTGAGAGTCAGCGGGCGCTCAGCCCGGAGGATGAGACGAAAAAAGGTAATGAGGATGTGTTCAGGCCTGCAGCCAGGCTCCAGGACAGGGGCAGCTCGGCAGCCGCTGCAGGGCCTGGGCACATTCCCCAGCTGGTAGGATGCACTGTCAAAGGTGAATTCAGAGACGCTGCTGACCAGCAAGAGCCAGAAAAGAATCTTTCAGTCTCAGAATAAAAATGAGAACACATTCTAACTGCAGTGCGAGGACTGCTAGAAGGGCTTGGGACTTCTCCAGCTGTCCAACGGGATCAGAGACTAGAAAAGAACTCGGGTCCCCAGAGCCCTGGACTGCCTCTCCATTTCCCAAACCCAGTGAGTAAATGCCTGAGTCTTTAGTTCGTTAAAGGTACCAAGTAAGCTCTTTTTATTTCCATGTTAGGTTTAAAAACAAAGAGTGTGTCTATTCCACATACACAAGATGTTTTAATAATGTGCTTTCTTCCAACTTTCCTCTCAGGATTTTCTTCTTCTATTTGCTCAATTGCTTCATATTTCTCCATCTTCTGCAGCACATGAAAGAAGTGTGTGGGAGAGACAGACAGACAGACAGAATGGGGGGAAAGAGAGGATGGGGGGCAGAAGGAATGACTTCAAGCTGGAAGCCACCCTTCAGTTTTCCAAAGAGCAGGAGAGTGAATCACAAGGGGCCTTAGAAGTCAACCCTGCTTGATGGCTCCAAGGACTCAGAACACGGGCTCAAGGGGCCACAATTATATGCGACAAAAGCTGAGTGTTTTGCTTTTTCCTTCAGCTCCTTTTCTGAAATGGTTTTCTCCATATATTACCTAACGTAAAGTCTAGAAAATATAACTAATTATTTGCCCCTCTGTAAGATTTCTTCTTTTAAGCTGTTACCTGCTTTGGGATAAACAGCAAAACCTGAGACGAGGGCTTCTTTGGAGACCAATAACTTTGCTCTCTTCTTGTTATAAACATGAAAACCATTGAAAAAATTAAAATGAAAAATTCAAAAATTTCTGAAGAAACACCTCCCACCCCCCAGCCCCATCATCTGTGCTACAGGATTCCTAGTGTCTTTCTGTTTGGCTTTTAGCCCATATCCCTTGCTGAGTGTGCCGGAACTTCCTCACCTGGGTAATAAGCAGGGTATCCACTCCAGCTAAGAAAGGCCCCTCAATGCTCTGGAAGCTGAAATAATGCCCAAATGTGGTCTCCAGAAAGCCTCGGGAGGAAACTGTTCTCCCTGACATAGAAATCACACTGAAAGCCCTGCACGGTATGGAAGCTGACACTCACCATTGGCCATGTGTCCTTGCACCCTTTGACCACCAGGAGGCGCAAATCCAAAACCAGGCTCATAATAAGCGCATAGGACTACGCATTTTGTTCACTAAGCTAACCACTGGCTTTATTTTCCTACCTTTATTTTTAATTCCATCATATTTCCCAACCGATTTATCTTGTCTTATATTGGAGGTATTTTTTATAAGCTACCTCATATCTGATATGGAACTAGATAAGGATACATCAATTGATAAGTGAATCATCAGATGGGACGGTGGTCAACGGTGCTTGGGAGGGAACGCCAACTCTCCCAGAAAAAATCATTTGCCAACACACTGAATCTCATTAAGATTGTTTAGATTTTTCCAATTGGAGCAAACACTTAACTATCAGTGAGTTTCAGAGAGACCACTGCCTCCAGGAGGCAAGAGGTTTGGTCTGACTGGGAAGCAGAAAGGAGAGTCTGGGGAAGAGGAAATGACGCGTGGACGCTACCTAGTCGCTGAAGAGGAGCCCTGTGACCTTCCAGGGAGCTAACCTCAGCGTTGGGATGGGGTAAAATGATAGAAATTCAGATTTTACTCAGGTTTCAAAAATTGAGGAGCTCCAGGTATCTGTTAAGAGTTGGCAAGATCCTAGCGTCCCCATGGGCAGCACAGAAAGGAACGGGCTGCAGGAAAGGAAGCCACTCAGGTTTCCGTGGCCCAGAGCAGCTCTGATCCACAAAGGGCGGATGTGGTGAGGCCTTGTGAGTGGAAGCTCCACAAGGAAGCGTTGGTGAACCAGCAACCAGAGCGTGGATAAAGGAGAAAAGCCAAGGACCAAAAGCCCCTAACCCTCAACTCTAACGCCCTGGACTAGCTCTCCTGAACGGAAATGCAAGGTGGGGAAATAGGAAGAAGCTGAACTGAGATGGTTTCTGCTCCCTGTGAGACTTGAAATAGAAATAAAACAAATTTTACAAAAATAAAGTTTTGAGTTTGTAAACTAATTGTGGAACCCACTCTCCATAACAAAATTTGTGTGTTGTGCCTGACAGAGGTCCAGCGATACTCAGGCTAATCGTTCCTGAAACGTTGCCCGGATGTGGAAGAGGGTTTCCCATTTGGTCTCTCAGAGGGGAGTTTGCCTGCACAAAGCAGTAGCCAAGGGTCCCGAATTCTCCAACTTACTAATAGGGTGTGGGTGCTATCTCACAAGTAAGTTTATGACTTTGTTACAACCAGAATTCAGCCAAGAGAATGTCTCACAAATAATTTCCATCTGTATTATGCCACAGGAAGATTTTCCACAATAAAAGAAATGAATTTAATAATGTGACAAAATTATATTTCAGAGGTGAGCCACAGCAGGTGCTAACAGGTTTACTTACAAACAATCCCAGAAGAATGTAATTTGCAGGCACCTGACGGCGGAGTTTCCCACAGCAAGCAAGTACAATAAGTACAACGAAAAACGCTGGCCTGAGGAGAATTTAAAACCATGTGTTATTTGCTTCCAATGACTATATCATGTGATATATTATAGGTAGATAAATAGAGACATAGATATCATACGATATTATCTGATAGTATTATGAACAAAATGTGGATTATTACCTTTACCTCTTTTTTTTTAGCTTTTGAAACTAACTTTTTTTTTAAACTAACTTTCTCATTGCTATCCACAGACAGCTTTTTAAAATTTTTATTTTGAAGTAACTGTAGGTTCACAGGAGGTTGCAAAGGGACAGAGAGGTTCCGTGTACCCTTTAAGCGGTTTCCCCATATGGTTGCATCTTACATAGTTAGAGTATAATGCCAAAATCAGTAATTTGACATTGGTACAGTGTGTAGGACTGTGACAGAAATCTATGTGTTGGTACATGTAACCAACACCACAATCAAGATTTGGAACTATCCCATCATTTAAACTTCAACAAAGACCTTCCCCATGCCATCCCTTTATGGTAATACACACACACACACACACACACACACACACACACACACACACACACACACATACACACCTAACTCTAATTTGCTTGTTTTCCATCTCTATAATTTTGTCATTTCAAGATTGTTATATCTTTACCTAATTTTTCATGAAGAACATTGATCAATAGCTAATAGATAAACCACTTTTTATTAAATCCAATAACACTTACAAGATTGCATAGGTGAACCAGGCATTCTCAAGCACCCAAGATTTTAAAGTCATCCTGGTTAAAAAAAATAATAATAGTTTTACACAATAAGTAGTTCATTTTTCTAACTAATGTAATATTTAAGTAAAAGTAAAACAACCCATGAGGAGAAAGGGGGAGGGGGGAGTCTAAATGACTGACAATGACAGATGGAGAAGGAAACAGTGAAACAGACAACTGAATTTTGCTATTTAAAATAAATTCATAAAAAGATACAGTCATAAGTTGTAAGTCAAATTTGGATAAATGCAAATGTCCTAGTGAAGATTTTTATTTAAAATAATACTGGGATTGATATGTGTTCAAAGCAAAAGAAATAATCTTTTCATATATTTGTTTGTAAATAGGGATTTTCATAAGATGGGTTTAAGCAGTGATAGGTCATAGTCCCTGAAATAATTGGTACACTTAACAGGATTCCAGCCTCCAAGGCCTCAATAATCTCACCTTTTTTTCTTTATCCAGTTTTATCCGTGGCAATATCTCAGGGGAAATAAGAAAATAGTGCCCAAAATAAGAGTAAGAAAAAACTTCATTGGCTTATGAAGTTGAAATAAAACTCTAGAAATCTACCAACATCTTGGTGTAGGAGTTGCCTTGGAAAAGCAAAAAGCTATAGAAATAATAATATGAATCATTTTTTAATGATCAAAATCAAGCTGATTCAATAGGAATTAATATACACAACTTAATATTTAATTTACATCTGTCATAAAGACTTACCAGAACAGAAACATGCTGATAATTGACCCAGTGACCACCAACTGGGCTGACAGGATCAGGAATACTTTTATAATAAAAGCTGAGGAGACAGAAACATTATTTTTGTGACACAGTATTCAAAAGTAAAAAATGTAAATGTAATTCCCTATTTTTGATACTTAACAAAAGAAATGTCTCCCCTGATTTTTTGAGGATGGGAAAGGGAGTACTAGTGTAGAGTTACCAGTTGAATACAACAAAACACAGCTCTGCAGAACTTGTGGAAAGTAGCCTGGATTGTTCAAGGTGTTTTATTGGCAATCTTAGGGTTTATCCACAGAAGTCCCCAAATTTTGAAGATAAACTCCAGAATTTAATTCCTTATGATGCACCCCCTGTCCTCCTTAGGCCCAAAAGTGACCTGAAAGTCGTGGGATGTCGCAGGCCAGTCGCTAGGGATCCAGCTACACCCCTGCACAGAATGAGGAAGGCCAAGGCCACAGGGATGGCTGGCAGAGAGGGCATTATCTTGGGCGTGAACTTGGGTTGCAGGGAGTTAGCAGAGATTTTTCCACCACTTTTCTCTCCTGCCTGCTTGTTTGACAGATTATTGGTAAGACCACAGAGTTCCAAGTGACTGGCATGCCAAGGCAGAGCATGCTGGTGTCTCTCTTTGCTTACTCCCTACTCCACAGGCTCTCCTGGGGCCCTCTGAATATGGTGCTGGTAATGAGAATTACTTTTTCTTGGCTTTAGGCCAATTTTAAAAGGAAAGAATAAGAAATCATGCTGCTTAAAACTGACATATAGGATCGCAACTGTGCCCTTTTGCTGGGCAGTTTCTGTGCTTGGGAAGTGTGGCAACAGAAATGGGACTGAGCGACCTTAATGAAAATACCAAAACATATATACCCAAATGTGTGCCGCCTACATTAAAATATTCATTTAGTTAACATTAATTTTGCATCTACTATGTATCAGGACTGTGAGGGAATAAATATTAAATGTGGCCCAGCCTCATAAGACTAGGCATGTATGTATATCAGTGGAATGGAATTGAAAGTCCAGAAATAATCTCTTACATTTATGGTTAATTGGTTTTTAACAAATGTGCTAGAACAAATCAATAGATAGAGAATAGTCTTTTCAACAAATGTCACTGAGACAACTGGACATACACATACAAAAACATGAATTTGGACCCCTTCCTCATGTCATACATACACAAAAATTAATTAGTTAAAAATGAGTCATGGATATAAACATAAGAAATAAAACTATTGGGCCGGCCAAGTGGCACAGTTGGTTAAGAGTTGGCTTGGGAGCACGAGCTCTGAGCAGCAGGGCCGCTGGTTCGGATCCCACAAGAGGGCCAATGATGCTGTGCCCTCTACAGCTAAGATGGTGAACGACAGCTAGACCTAGAGCTGGGCTGCTGTGAGTGTCCGGCGATGGCGTAGGCTGTAGTGGGGCTGCAGTGGGCTGCCGTGAGCTACCGTGAGCGGCCAGCAGCTGGCAAGAGCTGCTGTGAGCCACAGTGAGTGGCCGTCCAATGGCCGGCAACCAACTGCCTCAGCCAGGAAGAGCGCAATGATCATAATACCAACATGGGCCAGTAAAGCGACGTCCTCCACAACTAGACTGAAGAACAAAAGGACAGCAACTTGTCTGTTCCCCTCCCCCAATTCACCAATAAATAAATTTAAAAAAAAAAGAAATAAAACTATTGAAAGGATGCATAGGTATAAATCTTTGTGAGCATGGATTAGGTAATGATTTGTTAAAGGTAGGTATGGGATGTAAACAACAAGCAAATCTCTTTCAAATAAAGAGATAAATTGGATTTCGTCAACAGTAAAAGCTTCGTGCTTCAAATGACACCATCAAGAAAACTCAAAAACTGAGGAAAAATATTTGCAGATCATATATCGGATAAGGGACTTGTATCTAGAATACATAAAGAATTCTTACCGTTCAATAACAAGGAGACAAATAACAATTAAAAATGGGCAAATCTTGTGTAATCGGTGCTCTCCCACATTGACGCTGGGCTTGGCCACATGACGTGAGTTGCCCAGTGAGAAGTTAGGATATGTGATGCAAGCAGAGGCTTGATAAACAGCTTGGACATTGGGGCTTGTCCATCTGGTATACTTCTTGGGACTCAGCTGCCATGTGAGGATGAGAAGCTCAAGTTACAAGAGGAAATCCAAAAACCAACACCAACTGCCAGCCATGTCAGGGAGTCAGAAGAGTCACTGCAGCTTCTGTCGCCATCTGATTAAAACTGTGTGTGAGTCTTCAATCAAAACCAGCACAAGAACTGCCCAACTGAGCCCAGTCAACCCACAGGATCATGACAGCTGATAAAATGATTGTTGGGCCCGGCCGACTGGTGCATTCATTAAGAGCTGGCTTGGGCCACCAGAGGGCCCCAGTTCGGATCCCACATATGAGGGCCAGTGACACTGCCCTCTACAGCTAAGATGCTGAACAACAGCTCAACCTGGAGCTGGGCGGCCGTGAGTCACCTGTGACGGCGTAGGCTGCAGCCCCTGCTGCAGTAGGTTGCCATGGGCTACCATGTGTAGCCGCCCTGTCCAGAAGCCGGTGACTGATCTGCCTCGCCCGGGAAGAGCGCAATGATGGTGCCAACTTGGGCCAGTGAAAATAAAACAATTTTAAAAAGTAAAATGATTGTTGTTTTTTTTAAAAAAATAAATTTTAGGCAGAGGATTTGAATAGAAGTTTCTTCAAAAAGCTATGCAAATGGCCAAAAAGCATGTGACAAAATGCTCAACAACATTAGTCATTAGGGAAATGCAAGTCAAAACTACAATGAGCTATCACGTCCAACACACTAGAACAGCTACGACAAAAAAGATAGGCAATAACAAGTGTTGACGAGGACCTGGAGAAACAGAAGCCCTCATGCATTGCTGACTGGAAAATCAAATGGTGCAGTCAGTCACTTTGGAAAAATCCCTCAAAATGTTAAAAATAAAGTTCGGCAGTCCCTCAAAATGTTAAAAATAAAGTTACCACACAGCTCAGCAATTCCTAGGTACTTACCCAAGAGAAATGAAGACATATGTCTACACAAAGATTCATATATGAATGTTGACCACAGCATTATTCATAATAACCAAAAAGTAAAAACAACCTAAATGTCTGTCAAATAAGGAATGCATAAACAAAATGTGTTCTTTCCAGGCAACAGAATACTATACAGCCACAAAGAAGGAATGAAGTACTGACACATGTTGCAACATGGGTGGACCTTGAAAACATTATGCTAAGCGAAAGAAGGCAATCACAGAAGACCACATATTACATGATTGCGTTTATATGAAATGAATAGGCAAATTCACAGAGATTGTAGATTAAGGATTGGCAGAGACTGGGAAGAAGAAGGGATGGGGAGTGACTGCTAATGGGTATGGGTTTCTCTGTAAATATACTAAAAACCATTGGATTGTACACTTAAAAGGAATGAATATGATATGTCAATTATCTCTCCATAAAGCTGATTTTTTAAAAAAAATTGTAGCCCCATAACTCTTTTTTTTTTTTAGCTGAGCCATCCTGCCACCTGTTGGTAGCTCAGCAGCAGCTCAGCTCAGGCTGGACTCAAACCGCTGTTGCTCAGAGCTCAAACCCTTGAGCGAGCTCTTAACCAACTGAGCCACTCAGCCGGCCCAAAATGAATATGATTTTTTTTCCCCGTAACTCTTAATCCATTACCCTGCTATACTTTTCCTTCTTTTCCATAGCACTTTCATCTTTTTATATACTACATTTTTTTTAAGAAGGGATGGCAGCCACTGCCCTCCAGGAGAGGCAGATACAAATAATGAACTCTAATAGTGGTGAGGAGGCGTCACATGCTTTCAATTATAACCCCTTAGGCTTTAGTTCCTCATCTGTGAAATGGCACTACAATGGCTCCATTACAGGGTTGTAAGGACTAAACGCGGTAAAGTTCCCCTTGCTCAACACCCAGTGATGAAGGATTGCCACCTGTGGCAGAGGTGGCTAGTTGCTTAGTGACATTCATTCTGCCTGCTTTCCTCACTGTCCAACCCAGATCTTGTTAAAGGTGGTAATGGGACCAACTGAAAAACAACAGCTGTCTGTGACCATGTGGTCCAGGCAGGGTCAATGACAGGTAACTGGAAACTCTTGGGTATGGTTCCCGGGAGAGCCTCTGAAAAGAGGTCAGGTTTGGAGGACTCTCAGGGCATTGGTCCATGAATGGTGTCTCTGGGTATTGTCTTGGCAGCAGACGAGCCTTGGCCTGGTTTTGCCTTTGGAAGCCTAGAGCTCCAAAAGGCATCTTTCCAGCCACAAGATGGAGGGCGAAGGCCACAGGGAGAAAGCCATGGAAATCAAAGCTCATAGTCCCCTTTCAAGTTGTCCAGGCCCTAAGAAGACCTAAGGGTGGCAGAGTGGTCATGGGGACTTGTGGCATTTGCTGTGAATTGCCTACCTTTGAACTTCATTTTTCATGAAAGAAAAAAAAAAACTTCATTTATTTAAGCCATTTTTATTAGGTTTCTGTTAGTCATAGTTGAACATATACAAAATTAATACCTAGGGCATTGAATTAATATTCCTTAAAACTTAAGCCAATATTGTGGTATTACATTGTACTGGTATTACATTATGTGGTAATACATTCTACAATCAATGGCTAATTCACATTTCCTAAGAAAACCACAAGTTTTTCACTGTACTACATTTATTATGAATTTCTGAATGCCCTGGACAACTTGGGGTTTGTCTGTTATAGCAGCCCCATATCATGGTAATGCATGACCGGGAAAAACTAAAAGCAAAATTCAATCTTTCTAACAATCCACTCTGTGGAAACATTTTAAGAGCACTTTCGCTGTTCTCTCCCCCCAAAAAAGTAATGTCTTTATTCTCACCTCTGCGGATAGATCCTTCTGAGAATGGGCTGGCTAAAGTACTGCTGTCATTGGGGGTGGCCTCCTCTGAAATTTCTACCACATAGGTATCCGCTTGCTGACTAGCCTTTGAGTGTGGTTTCCCATGAGTTTGCTGTGGCCCAAATGGAGGTGAAGTTTTGTAGGACTTATTAGATTTGGTCTGGATGTTATCATCTGCTGCTTTCCGGATCAGATGTTGGTGATCTCCAGCACTAAAGTCTATTGGTTCACTGACCTCCAAGTCCACTTTCCTGGAGGGGGAAAATTGTTGTTCAGGTCCTTGTGATCATACTACTATATCCTCATAACATTTAAATGATTTTTCCTTAATTTTGACTCCCTTGGCTCAGGAGTTACCAAGTCAGTGCTTAATAAATAGTTGTTGAATGAATGATGAACAAATATTTTTAAGGGGAGGCCTACAGAGTAAAACTACTTGCATTCTATTATGAAATTAGTATGTTTATAAATTCATTCAGCAAGGAATTAAATAAGTTCCCTCTTTTGTGCCAAGTGTGGAGCTGCCCTCATCACCTTGGCCCTCAGAAGGCTTACATTTTGAAAGAGAAGATAACCAACCAAACAATAATATAAGCAGGGCCAGGAAGAACGGAGGGTGATATGAGATGCCCTAACAAAGTCTGGAGGAAGATGCACGGAGTAAAAGAGGTTATCAAAAGAAAAAGTGAGGGCTGGCCGAGTGGTGCGATGGTTAAGAACTGGCTTGGGATGTTAGAGGGCCCCGGTTCAGATCCCACATATGAGGGCCAGTGACACTGCCCTCCACAGCTAAGATGCTGAACAACAGCTCAACCTGGAGCTGG